CGACCCCGCCCCCCCGCCCTGCCTCACTGCCACTCGTGGCCCAGGCAGCTGCAGACTGCAGGCTGCTGACCCAGCTGGGTGATGGGCTGGCCAAGGCCTGGAGGTTGTCCCGCTTTCACACCTTGCCTGTCAACGCCATGGCTGGTTCCTCTGCAGGTCTTTGGCGTGTGTGCCACCCCCTTCTGGTCCTACAGCCCCAGAGTGGGGTCTGCCCGTTCCCAGGCTCACAAGAGATGGGGAGAGCTGTTTGGGTGCCAGCCTGGAGATGGTGGGTGCCCATGCCACGGGCAGGTGACAAGGGCCAGGGCCAGCCGCACAGTTTGGCTGGCCTCAGAGCTGGTGTGAGGACTGCAGTGGTGGCCTCTAGCTGCCACAAGGTCCCCAGGCTGGTCCCTGTCTCTGTCCAGGCATGCAGACTGGGGAGGAAGAGGATGGAACAGCCACCATCAGCCCTGCCGAGGCAGAAGAGGAAGCAGAAGGAGCTACGGCCGCTGACACCACAAGCACACAGCCTCATCCATTTCCTTCCTGGGGCAAATAGATCCTCTGTATCCCCTATTTTCGTTCAGCTCCCTCCCTCCTCCGGGGAGCACCCTGTGGGGCGGATGAGCCCCCAAGCATTGGGGGCTGACAGCTTGGAGACCCTTGCGGGGTGCCAGACAGACACAGCCGGGCTGACTCCAGCCCTGCTCCACCACCAAAGCTTTATTTACACCGTCGCTTTCCCACCGCGGCTTTTACAAAACAGGAGAGAAAGGGAGGAAAGACAGGAGCCGCGGGTGCTGAGCGACCGCCTTCTGGGGGGCGCTTAGGACTCGCCGGCCTCGAACATCTTCTTCCTGCCCTCCATGCCGGACTTCTCCTCGATGTTCTTCCTCCAGTCACCCACGTCGCGAAGGTCCTTCTCCTGCGGGCCGGAGGCACACGTGGCAGGGTGGCCGGTGGTGCCGTGTGCCTCGCTCCCCACTGCTTCCCAGCCCACCAGCCCACCACCCTGGGAGCTAGCGGATCCCATGGATCTGAGGACCTCCCCAGGATTTAAGCGATGCCTTTGGGCTGGCACTAAACGTAAAAGTGAAATTCCGCCCTCCATGTACTTTTCGGACCATTGCGGAGTTTCCCTCCCAGCTGAACTGTATTTGGAGAAAAATCTCCAAATCCTGGGGGAGCAGAGCCCTGGCTCAGGGCCTCCAGCACTGCTGAGCTTTCCCCCTCTGCTCACCCCCACACTTGTGACCCATAGGTCACAAGTATTGCTCAGACCACAGCATTACACTGCTGTGGTGGCTGGGCAATGCCCTTGGCGCATCCGGCCATGGAAACCTCACACCAAACGCCAGTAAAGTTTTCTCTTGGAAAACACCACATCAACTCAAGGAGCCCAGTCCCACCCTGCTGTATATCTTTTGGGGCTCCACCCTGTGTTTTCAACCCTGTGGGAGCTGGAGGAGAAAATATTGGGCAGGTGTAATAACTGCAGAGATGGGGGTCACCCTCAGGCCTGTCTATCATACAGGGTCCTTCCTCAAAAGCAGGGGCCAGCCACTGTCCAGGCGTATGGGAAAGGGAAGGGGTACCTTCTCAGTGTCCTCCTTCTTGACTTGCTTCAGGTTGGCACGGAGGTCCATGCAGACCTTGTGCTTGGAGCCCAGCAGGGCACGCAGCATAGCGTCAGCGGACATGCGCACCCTGCGCAGGGGTGGCCGCTTGAACTTGCCCCTCAGGTCAAACAGCTTCTGGTTTAAGTCTTCCAGCTGTGGGGAGGAAATGAGGGAAGAGAGAGGGGGGGTATCAGCTTCAGCAGGTGGACTGGGGGCCAACAAGTGGTGTGAGGAAGAACTAAGCATGAGCTGGAGACTCCTCTGAGGCAGCGGAAGGATCACTCCGAGGGGAACTCACCTCCTTGGTAGTCTTCTGTAACTTCATCTCTGTGTCATACCTTTCCTCATCCACTGACTCTATCTTGGCATGAAGCTTTTTGCACAGCTCCTGGAAGGAAGAGCAGAGAGGAAAGTCGAGTACTAGGACCCACACATGTGATTCCTCTCCCCGACCACCTCCTTCTCCTCTTCTCTGAAAGACCCCAGCCCAGAAGACTGGTGAAGGATCAGTCTGTCAGTGAAGACTGACTGGACCCAGATGGGGAAGGGGGGCTTGCAGGCCAGTTCCTGCTCTCTGTTCCACCAGCTCCAGGGGACTGCTGCCTCAACATGCCATCAGAAATGCAGCTTTCCTGCCAGTTAGCCTCCTGTCTTGCAGGGAGACCCCAGCTGGCCACTGAAGCCAGCTCCACGATATCGATCCAGGCAGGGGGCAGGTCATCAGGCAGCGGAGGAAAGAGGATGTGGCCTTGGCGCTGCAGATGAGATGCCCCACAAAAGTTGTTAGTTGTCTTTCTGGCCCTGCACTGCCAACCGCCCCTCAAAACATCTTGGGGGTGCTAGTCACCCTGCCTCTCCCTTGTCACCACCTTTGTGGTGGAGAGGGGCACCCAGAGATAGGTCAAGATGGGAAGGCAGGTGTAGATCCACCAGGCTGAACGGTGGAGGCAAATCCTTTCTGTTCCAGCACAGCAAGAGGATTAAATAAAACATTACCTGAAGCTCCTGCATGGATCCCGGGAGCGACAGAGGAGGACAATGCTCTGCCAGGTAGTTCTGTTTTTCCGCCTCTTTAGCAGCTGTTTCCTTTTCTATTTCAGTGGCAGCAAGCTGGAGCATGGCACTCTGGAAGGCAGCAGGAGGAGGTCAGCGAGGGATGGAGGCAAGGACAGAGGGAGGGAGCTGTGGGGGGCCCCAGCCGGAGAGACAGCTTGGACAGTGGGGAGCTCCCTGCCTCCGCAATACCGGCATCTCCAAGCAAGGGGGACCGGAGAGGACACACCTCAGCCTGTCCCAGCAATGCCGCCTACCTTCAGGTGCTGCCGACGGGCAGTGGCTGCCCTCCTCTTTTTCTGCAAATGGGAGGAAATAGAGAAAAGCAGGTTATCATGTGCCTATTCCCACTTTGTTCCCCCTCTCCGTATAACCCCACTGTCCATTTAGGACCTATATTCCCGCCAAGGAGCTGCCTCCAACCGAGAAGCATACCTTGACACACAGTTGGTCCCCAAACCAGCTGCACTCCAAAAAAGAGGCTCCCCCCTGAACCCAGCTTTGCCAATCTCAGGCATTTAAACCCCACAAACTAGGCCTCAGGTAGAAATAATGAACTTAAAGATGTATATATAAGAGATCTCTAAACCTGGTTTCTTGGGATTTTTGTACACTTTTTAGCCCTTTCTCTAATTTCCTCTTCACTCAGGAGTGTGTTTTGCTCTCCATTCAAGCGAATGGGCCCCAATGCCCCTGGGTACTAGGGAGCTGTGGGGCTTCTTTCCAAGAGAGGGTACAGCCAGGTGAGACTGGCCAAACAGATGAGTACCTGAAGGCTGTGTAACCCGTGGGGCTGAAAAGACCTAGCGCCTGTTCTAGCACCTGCAAAGACCTAGCCTGCTCTGGCCAGTCAAACCGGGAGACATGGAGGGCAGCACGGCTGCGGCTGCAGGACAAAAGCCAGCTCCATCTGCCCTGAGGTGCCAGCTGAGAAATATACTGCACTGTCCAGCTCTGTAAATCATCACATCTTGAGGAGCGTGGCAGACTGAGCCTGCCTTTTTGCGGCCGTGATATGTTGGAACAGCAGCAACAGGTCTCCTGTTTTATGAAAGAAGTTGCAACCTCGGTCTGTGACTGCAGCGTGGCTGCTTCCTCAGCATTTCCCCTGAAGGCAGAGCAAGCCTGAGTGCGGTTAGGGTGGGGGAAATGCACTCTGACATCTGATATGCAGTTGTGGGGGAGAAGAAAGCAGCGTTTGGGTGTGAGTTTGTGCTACATACAGGAGGAAGTGCATAAGGATGTGTAGAGTGCAATGAAACAAAATCTGACATGTTTTGCATATACAGATGGTGCTAAGGCCTTCGTGAAAGAGGTGGAGGACTCTGCAGAGAAAGGGCATCCGGCTCAGAGATGCAATGCAGCACTAACTGCATTTAACTAGCAGGATTCTGCTTGTACAAGTCTGCACTTGGACCATGAGATTGGATCCCTTGAGCACTCTCAGCCCAGGCCTTATTCTCCATCTGAAGAACAGTACTTTAGCAAACAGTGCCCTTCTGGTCTTCTTTTCATGGGGAATCAAAGCACCTGTTGGACATCAACACTGTGTTGTGGAGTTTCTGGGTTTCCCTGAAATACTCTTCTCTCTAGGTGAGGACAAGCCCTGCCTTACGTTGTTTTAGACATCTGCCAGCTGGAGATGGAGGACTGAGCAACTTGCTAAGAGGAGATGTGGAGCAATACTGGCAGTACTAGCGCCTGGTCTTTATTGCTGTGTCTTCTGCATTGTCTAGAGGGGAGTTTGGGTCTGGTACTGATTCAGGGACAGCTCAGTCTGCACAAAATCCTCCTCTCTTTGAAGCTGTGCGTTACCTGACTGTCTCCCACCAGGGGTGGGATTTCACACACCATAGAAAAGAAGTCAAACTCAGCAGAACAAACATGGGAATTTACACTTTTGTGAAAGAGGCAGTGAATTCTGCTGTGACAAAGCCACATACAACGCTCCCATACCTTATCTTGCGGTCAGCACAGCTTGGAGACCCTGTGAAAGCCCAGTGTAGTGTCTCCAAGCACAGCTTGGAGACCCAGTGTAACCCAGACCTGCTCCAGCTATGCTGGGAGCCAGGGAGAACACCTAAGCATGCAGCCTCCGTCATCTTCACACTCCTCGTA